CATGTATGTGATCGTTTGTTTGTATGGATGTATGGATGGGGGCGTGCACACGAACGTGCGAGCGCACACATGTACGCACGTTCGTGTACATGTGATGACTCCCGGTTATCGCTGAGATTGCTAGCATTTTCGTTGTGCTGCTCTTACGTTGCTGTTGCTCCTCGTTTTATTATACTGTACACCAGCAAGCATCAGACGTGAAACGAAGCCGGAAAGGCTGCGAGTCGCCAACCTCGTGATCTTTGCCGGGCCTCGGGAAATGTTCACCGTCGATGAGTTTACAGCGCTGAAGGATCTGCATGTTGCGGGTCTTGTGTTTTGGTTTCCATGGCCATGGCTTACGGCAGCGTCATGAATGAGCTGTACCATGCACAGGGGGCCAGACCGGCTGAATTCATGTCCAGAGCATGCAGGACTACCTGGCAGATGGTGGCAGCATTCTCTTCCTCGTCGGTGAGGGTGGAGAAGGCCTACGGACAGCTGCCCAGTTGTTCCCAGCAGATTTTTGCCCTGACACCATGTGGTGTGCTTGGCTGCTCGGCTTGCCAAAGTCTAAGTGGCAGCTAGCGTCCTGCCTTGGACCAGCGTTGCTTCTTGAAGAAGGATTGCTTCATGGCGGCGGAGGCTCGCCATTGCTTTCGGGTCGTGCTCGCGCAGTTGCAGGCAAAAGCAACACCAACGTGAACTATCTCCTGGAGGAGTGACTGGACGGAACTTAGCAGTGCTGTCTGATGCTGCATGCATGTACGAAGAATTCCAGCTGCAAGAATTGGCCCCCTCGACGTGGCACACCGCTGAGGTTCGGTATGAGCATCAACAACGATGCCGTGGCTGACGGCCCAGTCCTGTAGTTTGCCAGGCCCCACCCACTGAAGGTTTATCGATTTCTCAGTCCAATTTGTTTCATGTCGTGGTGATGTAAGCCCGATTGCCGCCGCGTGGCTCGCAGCCAAGCAACAATTGTTCACTGCCGGACGCTGCTCCCTGCACAGTGCATTCTGGCATTGCCATGTGCATGCGATCTCTCATTGTTTGGTGCCTTGTGCTCTTCGGCACAGGCCGGGGTGATTTGTTCGTGTGAATATGAGCGGATCAAGGGGTGTGAAGGAACGGGCTGGTCAGAGAAGCCCAGGACATGCCGTGCGCATAAAGGGCGCGAATTCGACAAAGCCGCTGAGATGAGATCAAAGTTGCTGCGTTAGCGATGTTGCTACAGCGTGCTTGGCATTGCTTGGTGTCTATCTTCGGACTGAGGAATGCGAGCCACAAGCCGGAGCTTTTTCTTAGCTTCGAGGCCATAATTGGCTCAGGAGAGCAGGTGCTCAATGTCACCGCAGATCAAGCCAAGATGATGATCCGGGTGGAGGACCCCTAGCGCCCTGGCAAGCGTGCTACGGCCTGCACATAACTTCGCTTTAGGAGATGGACAGCACCAACACGACTCCGACTCCGGCTGACCCCAGACCTACCGACAAAATGATTCTGGATGTCGCGAACGGCTTCAGGCTGGATATGGAAATCCACACATCGCTACGCAGGTCATGCCGAAGCCGAGTTTTTCCTAAGTTGAATTGGGTGTGCAGGTGGCTTAGGCCAGTAATGATTGGGCTACGTGACTAGGCTGCGGAAACGAAGACTCGAATTGAGAACAATTAAGCTTCGGGCGTGCATGGATTGGAAGGTTACTGAACCTTATTGATGACGACTCGGCGCACAGATGTTCGGCTCCGGGGGAAGGATGTGGGAAGTTTCGGTTTCGCACCTCTTTCCAATTATCGGCGTTCGCCGCGGGCTGGTAGCAATTTGTCGCATGTTTGATGTGGTTCGGCCAGATGTTTTTTCAGCAACGGTCTCACTTCACTTCCCGAGATCGTACCTTGTGAAATTCGTGAAGTAGCATCGCAGCATGCAAGATACTCTCTTCCCTGTGCTTCAGGCACGAACATCAGCGCTTTTTCTCCGAGACAATATGCTACACCTTTGCACCTCATCGCACTCATTCTGTTGCAATGCTCCATGTCGGGTGGCAGCACAGGGAATTGGACGATTGTGCATGCTGTGAACACAGTGAACACCATTTTGATAGCCAGCAACCTGAGGACATGCAGCCAGCTGGTGGCATGATGAGCCCGCTCATGCGGTGGAAGAACTGGTGCCTCGACGTGTCGGCTCATACCCAGAGTTCCTTCCTCGTGGCTGCTTTGTGTGGCCGAGGCCGAAGCGTGTCGAGCGCCTCTCCATGGCAAGGCGCTCGACCGTGGTTGACCCGGCCCGTGATGAAGACGGCAAGGAAGAGCCCGACAATAGCTCGGGCAGTGTGCACGATGTGCACGAGGAATCGCCGATGAACGAGACGCAGTTACGGCGCATGATGTTTGTTGAAGCTATGACCCCCGGTTGCAGTGCCTGCGCTCGTCGCTGCACTTGTCCCGGGGGCTTCGGACATGTAAGGAGCGAGATCTTTGAAGCGCCGCTCCGCGTGTATGAAATGACTGAGCCGGAAGGCAGCGGCCTTTGCTGAGGGCATGCTCGTGCAGAGTGGCAGCAGGTGGTCGAAGGACGAATGGACAGGGACCTGTGCTATTGTGCTGAGGTGTCAAGCAGGTTGCTGGCCTCAACTGTACGGCATGGGTCATGAATCAGTCCCACAGCCTGCACGTGAAGGAGATGATGCAGGCACTTCGTGATGTGCCCGGATGCACGTTTGATGACGTGTGCAAAGCTCCTTTACAAGGCGATGACCAGTGTGACGGAAGCCACGATGCTCCGCGATCTGCCGGTCTGGTGGTTCACTTGGGATGTCCAGGCCTCCGGAGCTGATTAGCGCCACGAGAAGCCACTCGCTGCAGGAAAACTGAATTTAAGACAGTGACAGGATGCATCCGAGAAGTTGCAGCTGCTCCAATCCCTGCTGGACCCCACAGGCTACCTTTCCGCAAGTGTGTGGCACAGGCTGATAGGGCGTGCATGCGTTTTCGGTGTTCTTGAAGGAGTTGCGACGATGTCGGCTCTGTTCGAGTTCTGCGTGACGGACATGGGCGAGCTCTTGTCCACGGAGACACAGCCAGCTGTCTCAGAGCTCTCCGAAATGTGCTCGAAGGAATGAGAAAGCAGATTCCGGCTGCTTTCAGGTATAAGCTGACCTATGCGAGACAAGCCCAGAAGGCCACAAACGAGACAGAGCAGGCGCAGCAGGCTGCCGGGGTGGAGAATCAAAGCAATGCCCCTTGGCGACGAAGTCGGCGAGAGTCCGGAAGTGCTTGTCCGCTCCGGCTCCCTATTTTCCAGGCTTGTACCTTGAGGCTTGAGACTGAGGCCAGCCTGGGTGGGCCGAATGTGTTGACGCTCTTCGAGTCAGACAGCCGGACCCAACTACTTTCACCGCCGCAGAGGTCGCCCACCGGAACGAAGTTATGCTGAATTGCCTGTTCAGATTTGCAATAAAAGGATCTGTTCTCCTTGTCGAGTCGGAGCTCCTGCATGCAAGTCCACACAAGATCCCATGCAACATCCAACTTTCCATGTTTTGGCCTGCCCACGATGCACTTTGATTGATGAGACTACACGTGAAAAGCGAAAAATCCAGGCCTTCGAACCTCTTGCAGCTGAGCGCCACCTACGGTGTCACTGGCGGTGAGTGCGTGGATCTGACTCAGGCGACTCGCCTTCAGCTTCATTTCTGTCGTGTTACTGGGGTCGCAGAACCGCGCACGACTGCGGTACTGCACTTGTCGCCTTCAGGGGAACGTGGGCGAGGCGGAGATGGACTCAGAGGTCAACGGACCGGAGCGCCTCGCGCGAATCAATCGGGAGACCGTTGGCCACTTCAGCTGCAGCTTGCGCAGGGGCGGACCGTCCAATTCGCTTCTTGAGGGTCCTATGCCTTGCGCTATCGTTACCCGCAGAGCCATCTCACTCTTCTCCTGCCGCAGCACAAGGTCTGTGGGAGGCTGCCCCGTATGACTTCTGGAAGGGTCTGAAGGTGGGGGGATATTTCGGAGATCCCTGTTTAGAACATCGAGCACGGACGGTTGCAAAAGGTCCGTGAAATCGTGCCCTCCCTGGGCACTGAGATTGGGCCGCTCCGTTTGCCTCTGCGGACCGGGGCCAGGTGGACATCTTAAGGTCAGCGACATGCAGTTTGGTCCGTTTGCGCTCTCAGATCGAGTGTCCCAAGGCCAGCCCAGCCGAGCCTGGTCCATGCAGAAGTGGTCTCCGAGCCCTCAGTGCCGGTGTCCTTCGATGCTCGCGCACACTGGTCCAAGTGCAATTCCATCGGAATCATCCGCAACCAGGCAGGTCATGGCACGGATGCCTCTCCGTGAGCTGTCCTGAGCCGTGATGTCAGGGCCGCTGTGGGTCGTGCTGGGCTGTGGCCGCGGCGACAGCAGCTTGACACAGCTAGACTGACAAATTTAAGCTTGAATGCTCGCTCGGTGAACGGGCTGCGACCGTGATTCCGCTTCCGGAGACTGCGAGGTAATGACAGACAGATTCTGCGTTGCGGCTTCTCAGTTCCTGGGTCGAAATGACAGCGCTCAAGGCAGTCTATTGCAGCTGTCTGCCGCTCGGCGGCCATGGCAGCGCAGGGAGGGCTGTGGAGCCGATGTCTGAGCCTCTCGTTTCTTTTCGCTTGGAGGAGATGCAGGGCCTGTCTTTGGCTCCGGAGCTGCTCGTCCAGTGCGATGAGACCAACCATGGCTGCGGCGGAGGGCGTCTGGACGACGTTTGGCTCTACCTGCGAAGCCACGGCGTACCTCAGGCTCGGGGGAAGGGGGGAAGGGCCGTCCGGGGGCAATTTGAAGTCAAACAAATCATCTCGCATCTCTTAGACAAGCTTCTTGCTGCGGGCAGGAATCCTGCACCCCGTACGAACACTGCCTTGTCCCGACGCAGCGCACCTGCGACTACGACTGGCAGCCGAGGCAGAGACCTTGAGGACTTTGGTGGTGACTGCGTGCGCCCCATCTGTGCTGTTTCAAGGCCGACGATGCAGCTGCATGCAGATCAGCAGGATGAGGAGCCGCCGTCAACGCATGACATCTGCATCCCGGCGGCACCACACAGGCACCACACAGGCTACAGACTTGGTTGAAGAGGCTTTCAGTTCTTGCCATTGTCGGCGGCAAACCTCACCGTGCCAAGGTAACGGGGCTTGTGCCGATGGCTCAAAGATGAAGCTCTTCAAGGTGGCAGAGGTGCCTTGCTCCGATAAATCCGAAACACTGGACTACCGAGCTGCTTTTTGCGCAACCTCCCAGCATGTACACACCCTGTACGAGTCACAGTATAACATGAGAGAGGACAATCATGCTTGAAGACATCAGGACGAATTAAGGCATACAAGCACGTCACGTAAAACGATAGCTCAAGACTTCCGACAGGCCTACGCGGCTGCCCCGCCTCGTGACGTGGTGGGCTTACAGCGTGAGCTGCTGACACACGGCCCGGTGGAGGTGGCCTTCTTCGTGGCCCGGCTGGATATAGCACAGGCATACCAAAAAGCCCATACCCTTTTTCGCCGAGCCTTGAAACCGTACCGTATGCCGCAAGCAACTCACACGTCCAAGCAGCAGACCCGGCACTCTGGCCTTCACACCCGAACGGTTGGAATTTCCAAGGTCTTTTCTGACTTCATGAGCTACAAGCGCGGCGTCTACTTCCGCACTCCGGGAGCCTTTGGTCCTTTGGGAGGCGCGGAGCCAGCAATGTCGCAGGTAGGAACTAAGGAACTTCCGAAACGGCACATTAAGGCGTTAAAGACACCACCAGTAACTGTCCGTCTTCGTTCTGGCCAGGGGCTTGTGTGTTTCGAGAGCGAGGAGGGTCTAGGACAGTAGCAGCCCGCTTTCCTCGCTTGTCTGCCCGGGTTCTGTAACAGAAATCTGCCTAGCACGGTGAAGGAATAACATCATAAGTGAAAACCCTTATCTGTGCCTTTGCGCAGCGGTCAATAGCATAGAGTCATAAAGTCCCCGTAACTGTTCGAGGCCACGCGGTGCGACTTCTCGGATGGGGCACAGAGGAGGTGGGTGGCATAAACTTCGCAGAGCTGGCTCGTATTCCATTTGGCAGTGCCATGTGACTTGAGGGACCCGTCTGGAGTCCTGATGACCTTCCCAGATGTAATTTGAGCTTTGTAGAGTGGGGACTTCAGAGACCTCAGAAGCGGATAGCTGCTTTTTTTTCTCAGTCCTGGGTTCAGGACTTTGGGAAAGACACCCTGGATTACTGGCTCATCGCCAATTCCTACTCTCCGCGTTGGGGCATGCACGGCCTCTTTCGCATCCGACGTGGCACCAACGCATCTTGGATGGAATCGATTGCTGTCATGAGTGAGAGCTTGAACGGTTGCTGGGCTGTGGGTTGGCACTGCCATCATCCTAAGTTCCTAACCGAAAGAGTGCAAGCCTGAGTGCATCAGGAATGTGGCATCGAGTCAATTCCTGCGGCTGGCACACCAGACCTGAGCCACCTTTTCCAGTAGGTGCCAGCTTTCGTTGGGAGTGTGAAGCTCCATGCAAGAGGCCACTACTAGCTAAGTACTCAGCTGGACGTCAAGCAGCCATTGACCAGAGCGCCGTTCCAGACTTGCATGGCATGCCAACTCCCTTGGCACTCCAAGTGGTGCATCTCTGCGTTGCAGAGGACTCGACTACAGTGTACAGGCAATTCACAAGTTCCACAACAGTTCCGACAAGCAAGGCTAACCTGCAGCACGAAAAGAGAGAGTCAGAGCAACACTCTGCAATCACTTGCTGTCTGGTCTTGACGAGGTCCGAACGGTTTACCACAAATACCACCACCCCAAGGCAGGGACTGTAAATGGTGCATCGATGGAGACTTCACGACGGCAGGAAGACGCATGCTTTTCTGCAGGAGTGCCTCATCACACATGGCACCATCTGCCGTGACCTAGTTGGGACCCGAGTGAACCGAAGGGTCCTCCTCACGGCGAGACTTCATCCCTCATTAGATATACTAGGCTACCTTCAGTGACTTGCTTCACGCGAAATTGGCAGTGACCGGTGGAGCTCGTCTCAGGTTCGAGCGGCTAACGGTGAGAAAAAGAAAGAGAAGGAAAACAATGACAAGCTTGCTCTCAACATCACGAAGGCTTGGTGCATCGATCTAGTGTTTGTCCTGCACCCAAGAACTTGCATATCCGAGTTAGGATCATCTCCATCAGTCCCGTGGCATGAGCTCTGCCTACCATAGCACATTCTGTGCGCGCAGGAGGATGCGGAGACAGTCACCCTTGCCAAGGCTGGAGACAGTCGTCCAAACTTGGGGCATCGCAGCGTGGAGCTCTTGAGAAGCAAACGGCGGGGCTTCCGGTGAGAGATGCGCAAGATTTTCGGGCCCGTGTCTGGGAGGACGATGGCGGCCTAGAGTTTGTCTTCCCTTACGGGGCAACGCTGAACGCGCAGAAGCCCGCAGTTCCCATCCTTTCTTCTGGGAAACTTGGCTGACAGCATGCTCGTGACGGTGCTCCCTCGCCTCTCCCAAGTTTGTAGTGCCCGCACGACACGCGAAGCTGATTGCCCGCTTGTGCCATGTGCTTGAGGCCTATCTCATACCCCTTGAATCGACCGATCGGGGCGATCCACAACAAGGCTTCTCAGAGTTCTCGTAAACCCGACGCTCACCGGATGCCACGCCGCAACTTGGTTCCAACCTTCAAAGCTCACCAGGTGGGCATGGGCAGGATCTGTGTCCTCGGCTCTGTACAGATGTTTGGGGCGTGGCGCCCAGCAGTCTTTGAGAGCCTCCAACACATCATTCTGCAGTATGTGATCATACCTGTCTTCTTGCACATTGCCGTGACCCACGGTATTCTCACGGCATGCAGTAACGTGCTAAGCACTGCTTCGTGCAAGTATACAATGACATGCATACGCATGCATGCTCGCACTCTCGCACGCACAAACCCGTTGGATCTAGATGATGGCACATGTTCACTTGTGACTAGTGTTTAGTATTGCAAATGATGTTTTCGCTGCGGGCACCTGAAAGTGACATTGTCACCCTCATTAATGGCAATGTTGTGCTATGTGTAGCTTCGTAGCCGTTTGTGTGGTAGCGATGCTACTTTGTGTACAGACGATCCGCCTGTATGCCTTGTTTTGATGCATGGTTGCTGCTGAGCTCAATGCCAATACACGATTACACCTTTCACCTGATGTTGCTGCTACTTGCAGTGTATTATTTTTTGGTAAAGTTGTGTAAGTTATTTAGATGTTTTGCTTGTGCACCACGAGGTTTTGAGTCTGTTGCCAGTTGTTAAGTATCAGCGCAGACTGCTGTGTATCGATATTCGAAGACGCAGTGACGTACGTCTATGGAATGCTATACACAGTTGGTTGACAACGGCAGCACACATGCCCGAGGATGACTTCCTGGAATGTGAGAAGAACAGGCAGTTGATCGACACCCTGGTGCGATGGTGCTGTGCTTACTATCATGAAACCCTGTCATTCAGCGGAACCTTCCCAACGTTAAGGGAGCGCAGCCGGCTGCAGGCTATTGCGGATTGGTGATTGCGAGCTCAGCTACGCATATGGCGAGGAGATGCGCTACAGAGTACTGCCCTGTAGATTCCGGCAGCGAGCTGGCTAAAACCACACAGACACGCTTCCTGAGTCCTTGAGCACCAGGAGCCCGAGCTCAGTGAGTACCATCACATCCCTCACACGCAGGGACTGGCGATGAACCTCAGGCTCCGACGGGATATGACAGGGTTGGTCTAGGGCCCTAGGGCACGAGATCAGTTCAGACTTTGCGCCATGCGAGGAGCTGCCTGCAGGCCGCCGGGGCCGAGCGGGCCGCGAGTCGCGTCGTGTCTTCTTTGAGAGTATGGGCCGTATGGGTATATGACTAGTAGCTCGGGGTGCGTGCCGGGCGCCAAGAGGTATCTGCTTTACTAAGACAGGCATTGTAGACGTCTCTCAATTACGGCCTTGATGTTGACATGTCGTAGGTTTTCCGTCCGTTTACCAGTGCTTACTTTTCAGACGTAGAGCTCCGATTTTCGGAGTTCCTAGCGGCACAGCCAACTGGAGTAATCGGAAGAACACCTGCAGTTCCACAGTGGGGAGCTGCAGGACAAGCCATGCTGATAGGGGTCATACCAGGTTCTGTGCAAAGAACCAGGTTCTCCATGGGACCACTTGGCATGCCAGGAGAACGAGCAGTTACCGAGGGACTTTACCCAGCTCTTCGACGATAGCCTCTTCAAGTTCGCTCCTGCCTTGGGACGGATTGCTGACGGTTGCTTGCTGTTCTCTACTTGCCGTGAAGTCGCTGTAAGCGACGGACACCTAAGGACACTGACTTGATCCCAGAGGCCAAGAACCTGCAATATGCAATGCTTGGATGTTGCACTCGTCATTTAGCCATGTGACCTCTTTGGAGAACGACTGCATGACGGAGACATGCCGAGATCAATTTAGAGTCATCGCGTGACCGTTCTTCCGTCTTGCTCGAGTTGCGAAGCATTAACATACCGTACCATACCAACCACGGTAGCGCGGCAGTTGAGCCAGTCTCGTCGGCAACCGATTACAAGGCATTAAATATCTCTTGCAGTCGTAAACGGTGCGCTGGAGCCATGTCGATGTACAAGTTGCCCAGTGTGAACTCGCCCTATGTGACTTGGATCCGTGACTGGTAGGGCCAAGGCATCTCCACGATTCGGTTTATGCCTTTATGGCATAAATGAGACTGCTGGGTGCAGGGTCAGAAGCTGTCTCGAGTGGGTTGGCGATCCAGGGAAGCAGCTGAGGCGAGGCCATACATGACCAACCACCTGTGCTACCAGGCCCCCCGTGAATGTTGCTGTATTCGATTTATTTGGGGATAGTAACAGCTTTTGGTGGATGTTTGTCTCAAGCCGCAATGCCCAACGGCCAAGCAGGGAACAGTTCAGAATGCTGTGCGGTCCTCGTGCTCGAACTTCCAGCTTATGGCCTCGAAGCCTCTCTGCAGGATCGGATTCGCAAGGAGTTTCACGGCTCCGTTCCTACAGAGATGCTGCAGATGATGGATGCGCCGCTGTCTGAGGCGAGCCACGCATGGGAGGATTCCGTCGAAGTCTTTTTTCCCGTCGGTGCAGCTCAAAGCTTCGCTTCATGGTAATAGTAATTAGCAACTCCAAGCTTTTGAACAGGTTGCAAAGCTTGGCTTGGCTGATCCTTACAGCTTGTTCCTGTGTTGTAGTTTGATGTAATTCGCGTTTTCAACGAACTGTAGGAGTCCGTCGTCGCTGCTGTTGATGTTCTTGTCATTTCCTGTGGACCTCTGCTTCCTGCGGAGGCCTCGCGCAGGAAGTTTGGGCTTCCTGCCTCAGGCACTGGCGCTTTAAACCGCTTGCGGCTAGCGTGAACTTTGGTTTGATAAGGCGTGGACCTGCTTTAGGTGTGTTTCGCAAAAACTCTGTTTCAACATCCCCCCAAGACCGTTCTGAGCTCTGCTTTGAAGGACCATCGATTTGTCCCCGGGTTTCTTTTAATGTCGCGGAGTGTGTTCATGTGGCGAGGTTGCCCGAAGTCCGCAAGGACCTACAGTACCAAGCTTCCAGTAGACTCCGGCTTCGGTGGGCTGCAAAGTTCGCGCGAAGGCCAACTTGACGCACGTGCACAGATAATCATGTCGTATGCCGTATGCTAGTATACCTCGCGTGTCGCAAGAACTGGTGCCATTAAGGGATCTTGCCGTTGCCATCCTTTGCCCTTGTTGCAGGTTCTGCCCCCAGCCTCATGCAGGCAGGACGGGGGAGGTTCACAGTCAGCCTGAGAACTACAGGATTACAGCAACCATCGTGCTGCCTTGGTGCACTTCCTGCAGCCCGCCCGGGTGAAAGTGAGGGCATGCTGGCTGCCCTGCGGTTTGTCTTGAAGTTTCGACTTCCACAGATGGGCGTCATGGCATGACTTTCATAAGTCCGGCATTGGGTTGTGATTTTTGTTGCTGCTATGAAGCTGCTGTAGTGAAGATCCTTATCCTTTTTGCAAACCTGGTTTTGACGGCGAGCCATGCGAGAACTGCCAAAGCTAACCCAGCATCTGGCTCGTGAGTTCAGCACTCGTGCAGGAGAGATTTCCCAAGGGCTCCTTCAACAGAATGAACAACGACTCGACCGGGTTCTCCAGGCCAGGATCTGCGGCTGAAGCGAAGCTGGCTACTAGGACGAAGTTAGTTTTCTTAGCTGGTCTCACGAATCTGGAGCAGTCTGCCGGCCAGCGCGGCAGTCGAGCACCAGGGTGCACATGATGCTGCCAAGAGATGGTGCGGCTCGAGCATTGCCGGGTTTCATCTTGAAGCAGCACGCTCAAGCAGACCACAACAACTTTCACGTCACACTAGCTTTTGTTTTCAAACAACTATTCGCCACGTGAGCCGATACGGCGGGGGCCTACATCCCGCCGCCATCTAACCATAGCCTCGCAACGCGGGAGTGTGGCATTCGTCCACACAGGTATTCAAGGATCCGTGTCGCCCTCGTACGCTTCAGCCACATTCGGAACAAGCGCCAACCAAGGACCAAGAGGTTTTCAGAATCGTGCCAAACCGACAGAGTTTAGGTACAGGGCGTGCCCACGTGGTCACCAACAGCTCGGAGCCTCTCCAGAAAGCTCTCACATTCAAGGCATGTCAAGGCCAAGGCGGTGGCTTGTGAGAAGAGAGCTTCATGGCTTTGCACAGTACCTGTATATTGCCGCACGCTGGATTTCAGAACAGTGGCCGAGCCGTTGCAGGTCTCTGCTCGGAAGCTGGGAGGGCACCTTGGTCAGCTCGATTTGGGGTTCTTCAGAAGCCACTGCTAATATACGCACCTTGAACGGAGTCGTAAGAAAACTGATCAGCATTTGCTGAGCTTTCAACAAGACTGCTGCTGTTTATGCAATGCAATGTGCGTGTAAGGAGGCATCCAGAGACGCTCCAAGTTCTTAAAGGTTTCGGGTTTGAGAGAAATCGTTTTCGTGTTTCCAGATCACCAGGTCGAACAGACAGCAATAGTAAGGCAACTCCAATTCCCAACTCGGATTTGACCCGTTTATGTTGTTGGTTTTGGCTGAGCACAAGAGGTCGATCGGACCTTATCGAACGTCCTGTGTCCAACGCATCTGTACCTGCAAAGAAAACTAACTCCGTGTCGATGAGCTGCTTCTAGATCTCCATCTGTTGATCCGATGTTGCTACAGCGCCTGCAACTGCGACGACCACAGCTGTCCTCTGCTTCTGCACACCCTATGCGGCCAACGTCTGTAACTTCGCAACCATTCCTCGTCTATCCTGGTGCTGCTGCTGCACCCCTTCTTGGGCATACCCGCCTGTGCTCTGAGTAGATCTTGCAGCAAGCCTTGCGAGAAACTTAAGCCCGTGGCACCTGCCTCAATCCCTAAGACCTTCATCCCTACATATCCCTACATGACGCGTGAAGCCTCAATCCCTAACCATCTTCCTGTACCGCCTATGCCCCAGACTCGCAGGGACTCCCAAGCTCCTGCAAGCCTCCTGGAGCCTAAGGATCAGGCGGCCTCAACTCGCTCCATCGCCAGACCTTCGGCCCAGCTCGGGCTCCAGAAGCCTCCAAGAATGGAGTGTTTTAGAGATTAGGGGTGGGGCATACAGAAGGCATCCAGCAAAGAAACAGGTGCAACCCGCGACTGCGGTCAGTCGGATAAACGAAGGCAAACTCCCAAGCCATTGGTGTTTTTGTTTGTCCTTCTACATGTATGTTTATAGTCTCGACTCTCGGCCTACGTATCAATGTGGGTTTTTTCAAAGCACTTGTACATTGCCGCAGATCAACATGTGTATAGTGTTTGGTCTTGACAGACGGAATTATAGGGTTTGACCAGGGCACCGAACAGCGCCAGCAACTTCAGGTCGTCAGGCCGGAGGAGACAAGCTCCAATGTGCGGCACATGATCCACTCCCTGAAGATGGACAGGCCGATCTTTCTCTCTCGGGGAGTGGTGCCACTGCTTCGGCATCTGCTTATCGTAATCGTAATCTTATCGTTACTTAGTGTGGATCTTTATCCAGGCCTTCGGAGAAGTGGATGCTGTTCTGCCCAGGATGAGGGCGAGCTCGCTGCCTCGATCCTGCTGAGTGGGATCGTCGAGCTCGCATGATGTTTTTTATTTGAGCCGTAGCTGCCTTCCCAAGAAATGACTCCAGCACGTTTGTGCCGGTTGACTCTCACCACAATGCCGCAAATCGCGCGCATTTGTCTGCCTTGACTGTCTCTTGTGGCCTTCCCTGCGATGTGGTGCCACTAGCTATTCAAGATCGTCTAAGAGTGGCAGTTGGGATGTCCATAAGGTGGACTGGGTCAGTACACGTGTCCTCTGCAAGTTTCACCGGTTCGACGTGTGTGTGTGTGTAGTTGACGGACCAGAGCCCAGCATTTCAAGACAGCGCCGCAGCTGTGTGCAGATCTGGGCCTCCGGATGATGAGCTCCATACTCTGAGTATGGCTTTGAGCTCCCTTCAGGCTGTGAAGTTATACCACCAGCTGGGTGTCAAGCACGAGCCGTCGGGGCCTGACTTGACTACAGGTCTCCGTTGACTATTCTAGCTCGTTTACCCGACTACCACGGTATGTTGAAGTTCTTTCATGACATGACATGCCTGATCCTGTTCTACCTCCTCGACATCCCGAAGGATTGACGCTTCTCCCCAGGCTGACGCTGATTCCTCCGCAGTTCGAGACGCCGATGCCTGCACTACAGCCGGCAGCCCGGGGCCCCGGATTTCCCTCAGAGCACTTGGGGCCGAGGTACAGATCGGAGGAGCTTCTGAAATGACTGTAGATGTGTATTTCTTTCGGTCAGTCTGTCTCTGTCTCGGTAGGTCTTATCTGTCGTACATCTGTATATATGTATGCTGAATACATTGTAAATACATAATATGTACGACGGATCCCCCCACCAATCGTATGTTCGCCAGTTGCGCAGCCTCCAGCGTGTTCCGAACGAGCCCGCTTGGCTGTGTGAAGTTCGGCTGTTCAGGTCATCCGTTAGCCCATGAACCCATTGATTGATCCATGAACCCATTAACTCATCCGATTGACCTTTGCCTGCTGGCCGAGCGGAACTGGGAGAGTCAGGTCAAGAATGAGCCTTTTGGTCCATAAATCCTTCAATCATCCTCAACTCAAACAAACCTGGTGATTCTGGCCAAATGGACTTGGGCTTGCTCAGGCTGACGGTCAACAGTCAACCCATGAATTCATGCACCCCTTGTGCCATTCGCCCTACCTAGCTACACACACCTACGTACTTATATACATAGTACGGGCATACACACATACGTACATACGGAGATGAATCGTTCTTGCCGCAAAATCCAACTTAGATACACTAGCAGAAGAAGAAGCTCAGAATAAGAATGGCAGATGCCGGGTAATAGTAGCAAGAAGGACAAAATCAATTAATCGTAAGAGCACGAGGCCTGCTCTTGACCTTCCGGTTAGAGTCAGAGTCTCGTGTTTTTTTTTCAAATTTCCAGTCTCTGCGAGGGGAAGGTCGACTTTGCGAACACGAGTGCTGTGATTCGGATCAGCTGTTGTCTTTACTGCTGCAAGAAACAGGGTATCAGGATATGGTGGTCACCGATTCAGACACCTACGTTGCAAAGCTTATGGTGCAGCTTGCATCACCCACCGAACCATTATCAGGAGAGCTTCGCTTTTGCTCTGACGAGGTGTTCCCTCCTTGCCTGCGGGAACCGCCGCCACCCAGCCTCGACCTGTTCGACCTGGACATGGGGCTGCGGCTTGAATTTAGTTGCATTCACCCATGAATTTCTATGGCCTTCTCTGTGGATTTGCCGGTAAACAAACATGCAACCGGCAGCCTTCTTCTCCGCGAGTCCGATGCCGGGATTCGGGCAGCCATGGGCCGGACTCTGGTTGCAGAGGTTGCCAGAAAAAGAGCATGACATGCTGTGGAGGACGAACAGTTCGCCTCGGAGCGGGTGCGCTTGGCGCAGCTCACCAACAAGTTGCAAGCTCGGATTGGCTTCTCAGATTTAGCCGTGCAGCGAAAATCGCGAAGAGGTTCTTGTCCGGCAGGCGGTCGCAAGCGCTTTTCACTTTATGCAGACCCTCACCAGCACTAGCTCTGGTCGCTCAGGTGCACGGACGACGACCTCGACTTCTACATTCGACAGGCCGGTTGGTGGGTTTGTCCAGGTGTGCAGAGTGTGAGTTCGATTGTAGAGTCCTGGAGCCTGCAAAAGACTCCGAGCCACATCCTCCCCGAACAGAAGAAAGCAGATCTTAGGACTTGACTAGAGACATTCCAAGGCACGAGCGCGAAGCAGTGTCTTTTCGAAAGCCTTCCACCGCTCCACGGAGGCGGGGGAGATCCTGGGCGTCTCGCAGAAGTTGGGCGACAAGCGCTCGTCCAAAGATCCGGCCAAGAAGATCGTCGAGCCAGCAGCCCAGTTTCGGGGCTTGGGGTTCAACAACATGGATTTCGCAGGTTGATCTTTCATGTTTCAAGCGGTGCTCTACATCGTAGCTCAGCAGAGTCTGCAGTGGGCAATGCAAACCGACATCCAAGATGCAGACTGTCAAGAGTGCAGAATCAGGCATGCGCCAGGCTAGGCTTATGTTCGACAGTGAGCGAGGTACATCTTCAAGGAGTTAGTCGGCTTCAAGAAAATGAATCAAGACATGGTGCCGTCGGTTGGCATCTCTGAATAAGCACGCGCTGAATTCGAATTGCCTGCAGCTTGCAAGAGTCAAAACCACAGAACCATCAACCAGGAAGTGGGATGGTCTTGTCTCTTGCTTGCTGGGCTTCCTCGTAAACGCACAGCATGTCCAAACCGCGAGAATTCTCGGGCGGAAGTAAATGCAGACGCCCCTCGCCCGGACACGCCAGCATGTTGACAGTAATACGCAAAAGCCTTGCTGGGTGAAGGACCCGGTCAGTTAGATCTAATCTACTGGGTACTGGGTGATACTGGACGTAGACTTATATTTGTCAGCAGCCCTGGGATGGTCACTCCCAGAACGGTGGATGTGATTCTGATGCCAGAATTTCGAGCGAATTCCGCCTGTAGCTAGTCGTGTGGGGGCCTCAGGCTCTCCACAGCTTATCGTCACGGGACTGTCGATGAATTCCCTGTATCCATGTTAGTCGAGAGAAGCACTTGCACAGAAAAGGGAATTGTGTTTGGATGCAACAGTTCCTTGTCTTGAAAGCGAAGCTGAAGCCGGACAGTGTCACACTATGCCTGGGAGCTGCATGCTGCCGAGCTCATGGCCATGACAGCAAGAAACCTAGCAGTCACTTCAAATTGCAGAGTCGAAGTCTGCAATTCCCAGGCTCCCCATGCATGTCAAGACTGTTGCGAGCAAAGCTTTGCTCCAAAAGCAGGGTGCTTTGCAGAGCTTGCTTGGTGTGGGTTGGGTGACATGACGGTGCCCGAGTTGCAAGCCGCAGGTGGTCGATTGCTGCGTGGTGTCTGTGCTAGCTGGCTCGAATCAGCCGGAATCGAATCCGCCGCTTGTGGCACCCGATTCAACATCCTCCAATGACAATGACTGCATCTACGAAAGGGCCCGAGGAAGTCGAGAAGATGCTTCTCAAGCAATTGGTCGAAGAGGACTTGACCGAAAAGGCCGAAAAGCTGCTCATCAAAGAGCTTCACGGCAGCAGCTGCAATCCACTCACGGCTTTCATGCTTTGGGGATTCGTCCCTAGCCAAGGCTTCGCGAACTTCGCGGGAACCCGCAAGATTGCGAAGAGGTCGACACCATCGAAGTGGACGAAGAAATGATGCCCACTGAGGAGTCGGCAGCAGCTCTCAAGGCAAGATGCATTGCACCTGTGTCGGCTCGCTCCGTGAAAATCGAAAGCACATCCTCCATCAGGACAGCCAGTACGAAGCCAACGAATCAACGACCGTGAGGCCGCCTCTCGGATGCAGGGAGTTGGAAGGCTCCTTCCGTCCCGAGGCCCTTCCCAGTGACCTGAGTCACTAACACAGACCGAAATTCTAGCTGCCTTTCGTTCTTGGGCCGAAGAGGCGTGCATAAGTCGACGCCGTGCTCAGGACCCAGGTGCCTTCCCGATACCAGGGCACTTACACTTCAACGGACTGGCTCGAGGCTGGCTTGCTTCTTGGCAGCTGTGTAAACAAAATCACTAGAAGTCTTAAGGTCCGTCCATGCTGCTTCGCGTCTCTGTGTGTGTCCTATTTTAAGGTACGACTGCACCTTGGCGTGCGAGTACGAAGGATTTCGCCCTACCTTGAAGACGATCCGAAGCATGTGCTACTTGTTGAAGAAGCAAGCTGAACTACCAGATTGGATCTTCATGTCGGAGCAACCAATCCGCAGCCAGGGACAGGTCTCGAAGAACTTTCGCCTGTGTGAACACGATGGGCAAACGGACATCCTCTTCGATGTGAAGCCACCGTCGTATCATGTCGGGCAGCTGGACGAGTGTTCTGAGAGTGACCTTCTGGGCGCCTGTTTGATGGCGCTTCCTGTGAGATGCCCCAAGCAAGGGGACTGGTGCTTGGGGTTAGCAGGCGCCCTACGCGAGGCGCTCGTCAAGAAGCCCCGCCTTTGTGAAATCCGGCGTGTGATAGAAAGGCTGCTGGAGTCAGAACAGGCTTCCGTCCATGGTTGCGGTCGCTGGCGATTGGAGTTGGCGAAGTTGGAAGCCTCAGAACAGCATCTCGTCGCTCCTGGTAGTCGGGATGTATCCGATCGTCAAAGAAGCTTTCCCGCCGGGGCGCAACCAGCAACACAGAAGCAGAAGAGGGGAGGCAAGGCCAAGAATCCGAAGGCCAGAGCCAAACAGACTGTCCCACACCTCGGGCTCCCATACCAGTGATGCCAGTTCAATCTCAAGCTGAGGATTAACAAGTCGAAGGAGAACCTTTGTGATTCAATTCTCAAAACCTCTCTGAAGATTGAACATTCGAACGTCTCACTCATGTCATCCTCGAAGCCGGTTCTGCCGAGCAGGTGAAGGTGACTAGAACCCATATCTCGCACAAGACCTTCTTGACGTTTTTTAACGAAGACATACGAGAGCAAGCGCACGGTAAGCGCCGAGTCCGGCGGAGGCGAACATCCAGTGCTGCCAGGTTCAGGAAGGCCTTTCGCATGAATCCCATGTCTCTCTGCACAGACCGGAGCGCAAAGCGCTGCGCTTTGACTTCTGAGGGAGCTGGGCATGGACAGACCCGACGAAGATTGCAAAGCCCACTGGCTAGTCTGACTAGTCTGGCCATCCCGCCTCTCCCATCATTCATCATTCCCAAGGTGTACGAGTGGCCGTTCTTTTGTCTTACTCAGTCATGCTTTTCAGCAGCTAGTGTGTCTCTGCTTCAAACCTCTGCCGTCGAGTTTGGAAGAAAAGCGGCTGCAGCACTGAGTTTTTATTTTAATGTGCGCAACAAAAGGCGTTCGGCTGGGCAGCTTTCTAGGCCCAGATCGCCTTTGGGTAGGTTTGCGCGGCAAGCGTTCTCATGAAACTCAGAGCCCATGCACTGTTCTAATCTTGTGACTGGTGGGGAATCGCAATTGCCGTGCGTGCTTCCATGGATATAACGGAATGCCTAGCATTCGCTCCACCTTCAGTGTGATCAGCATTTAAAAAGCATTTGCACGTTTCGTTGCAGAGCTGTTTTGCAAGGGCTTCGAACATCAAACCGCAAGGTGCTACTGGCTGCAGGTGCCACGCTGATGCCCGGATCTTGTCTGAGCCACACGAAGCGACATGAGCTGAGCTGAGTTGCAGATGTGACCGGGCTGTAGCGCCGTAGGGGTCGTTGGGACATGCCTCTCCTATCTGCGCTGTCATCATAAACAGCACATTGCTAAATACGGAACCCGAGTCGGTCTCTTAGCCATTGCTGCTACACGAGTTTTTGGGCTTTCGGTTCGTTTGTTGGTGCCCTCCAAGGCAACCAACGGCTGTGTCTGCGGAGAGCAATGACGAACTGATAGCCTTGCTTAGGCCGGCGATCATACTCTTGGGGTGGTGTGCTTAGGGCAGCCAAAATCGTCAACACTTCTGCTTCTTACAGTTGTTGGGCTGTTGGGCATTGAATGTTGTGGAGCACCTTGGGTCTGCAGCACGACATGGTATTAAAGGCGGACCGAATGAGCCGCATTGCTAGATTCGCCGTGATAGTCGTCGGGTCACACAGTCCTAGAGTGTGCTCGAGGACCGTTCCCCGCAGAAGCCCCAAAATCACGGAGTCTGAGATGCGGCGAGGCAAGATCGAGAGCTTTTGGACCCTCTTCCAAAGATGCTGAAGGAGGGAACGACAGGGGCCTGGCCTCAAACCAGTACCAGCAGTCCAAGTGCATGTTATTCTGAAAGCCGCCACATGAGCCCAAGAGACTGGCAGATACTGGCAGCGACACGCCAAGCCATGTAAGGGCATCAGGAGCGGCAGCCTCACTTTGTTGATGGCAGGATCAGAAATGGGACAACGTCCGCGCCGTGCTGAAGGTTTGGGTGGGGGTGGGCGCAGCGCAACTGTGGGTGCTGAGCGGACTTTGGGAATCCGGAATGTGGAAGCACCACCAGCAAAGTTCACTGGCAAGTTCCATTGTGTATTATGCACTGCTATGCGATTCAATGCGGCTTGCTGAAATATTGCATTTCCGAAGCCCTAAAGCCTAAAGCCTTTCTGTAGCGGACCCCGGCCAAACTGGTCCCGGAAACCCCAGAAAGCTGGCCGCTGCTGAGACGCCTCCGGTGTCTTACCTCTGGAACCTTGGGTTGGAGAAGAACACCTTGAAGAAGGCCTGGAGCCTAGACTTCTTGGGTCCCATGTGGATTTTGGGACCTCGAGGCCGAACTTTGCTAAAGCTATGCTGTGGTCCAGCTTTGCAGTGGCATTTGACTGTAGGTCTCTATAGGAATTCAATTCACCTGAACAGTAGTTCCTAAGTGAATCGTTTGCATGGGTGTTGCTTTGTCCTTCATTGTGGGAGGAGCATCTCGTGACACAGTGATCAAACGTTTTTCGTGAATCAACCGCTCCTTTTGTGCTGCTACAAGCACCTATGGCAAGCTTGGAGCACGGACCGCTTTGGCTGGCGCAGAGAAATCCGCAGAACGCGTGCGGTGTCGGGCTTCTCAACATGCAGTTCATCATGAGGTGCATGAACATGACTGCCTCTGACACGGTTCTTAGCAGCGAGCGAATTATGAACCTGGTTTGGTAGTCATCTTTTGGCATTTGTAACATTGGGTGCCTCGTGTCAAGCTGAAGGTCATAATGCTGAAGGTCAGTGCAGGTGTGAGGAAGCCCACTTTCTGTCACGCGCCGCGTTTGAGCAACCCTTTCATGCCAGTTGGGTGACAACTTGGGGGAGATCCAAGTCTTGGAGCTCATGGACGAGATTGCATCGTGCCCATGCAGCACTCGATTCCGTCCCTCCCTCCGTCCCTCCCTCCCTC